GTAAAATCTGGCGTAGCGTATGTCTCGATGTGTGAACGCGGGACGTTAATACCGTTATAAAAGCAGAAACATGTTTGAATCATTTCTTACCAATGACATTCACCAATGGTATCCCGAGAGACTTCTTATTGAAACATAAACATGAATTACTGTGAACATCAATGCAAATAAGTCACTGTGTATTACGGAACACAGGCCCTGCCCATCCCATTATTAACCAATCAGAAAACAGAAGATAGCAAATGGGTGTTTGGTTTTTGGGAGCCACAGAAACAGCTTGGCAAGTCCATCAAACGCCAGCAATTTCATTATGTCTAAAATGACAACCATTTGTAAACGCAGTTTGTAGTCATGTAATTAAATATATATACCACACTATATTGTTGCTTACAAAGCTGTGATATTTTATTTACTACTATCTGTTTTAGATATAATATAGTGCCTTGTGTCTCATAGGCCATATGGCCGGATGTTATATTTTATTGAATGTTTTTAAGTTTATGTATGTTTTATATATAACATGTGACACAAAAATAAAAATATTTTCTTCTTCTTCTTCTTCTTCTTCTTCTTCTTCTTCTAAATTGACATCTGAAATGCTGTCTGATTGATTCTACATTAGTAGTTCCAATCAATCATTTTCTTTTTCCCTTCTGCTCTTGATGTCCAGACCGTCTTGTATTTTTGAACAAGTAAGCTCGTTGCGGATGTGAGTTTAGCGTATCCTGCAGCCTTTTGGCAGACAATAACAGTCGCATTTGATGGAGCATTCCTGATACTGCATGGCGTGAATAACAAAGAAAAGTACAGTGTCGTCGCTGTTAATGAACTGTCACAGTAATAACAGATTAGCAACGTTCTTAATCCCACCATTTAACAGGAAAACAGGAACAAGTGTTAGAAACACAATCAATATTGAAGAAATAAAAACACGAATAAAACACTATCAGGCCTTTTTCAACCTAACGTTATCGAGCTTCGCGAAGATAGATTTTAGCCAGTTGTAATCATGGCAAATCTGATACCGAACAAATGCATGATAAACATCAGTTTGTATCGAACACCTGAATTTCGCAAGAGTTGTGGAGGTCGGGTGGCATAGTTCTGGGCTGTGGCTATTTGCGTGTGGTCGCCTACAAGGAACGGCGCGATGCCCATGCTTTCAGTCAATGGTTATCTGTTCCCGAATCGATGATTTACAGGCCGCCACTGTACAGCTGGGATTATGCCCACCCTCCCGTTAAACAATGTTCACTCACTTGCTTGCTATTAATTTATCACCTCTTTGTATCCGAGCCTGTGCTGAGCCTGTGCCGAGCCTGTGCCCAGCCTGTACCGAGCCTGTACGGAGCCTGTGACGAACCTGTGCCGAGCCCTAAAGCCGAGCCCTATGCTCACTCTCCCGTTAAACAATATTCACTCACTTGCTTGCTATTAATTTATCACCTCTTTGTATCCGAACCTGTGCCGAGCCCTAAAGCAAATTTCATGGTACGAACACTTTATAGACGTAATAAATATGAAATGTATATGTTACGTTTAAATCACAAAAAAGTTCGACAAGGATGTTACGGGCTCCCACGTCCTGTCAGTATTACCCCGTCTGAGTTGCCGCATGTGGTAAGAAATGAAATCTGTGTTTTAACTTCAAACGTTACCCTATGTCTTCAAAACACATCGCCATAACCGACTGACAGCTGCAAAGAGGTCGCGTGTAGTATTTTGTCCACTTCACACCAAAACACTCTAGCAAGTGAAGAGCTATCCGAAATTGATATGCATCAAGAAGATTCTTTTCGGAGCGTTTTATGCACCACAGTATGACCTGCCGCCTTCTCACACTCTGCCAGTAAAACCTGTGAATAGTTCTGATTACTTGGAACCGCAAAGCCAAAACTCATTAAACCTTCCCGTCACCACCAATTAGACAATGCCTAATCCGCGTCAAGGAATCGCCGTGGCCTGAAAGAACTGGTATGATGAACTGGCAATGCGAAATTAAATTTGCAACCTCTGACCCGACTGGTGGATCCGAGCCGTTAATGACCTAGGCCTTTGGTCGATAACGCCAAATAGAGCAATAGGTCTTTGAAAGGTTTCAGCTGGGGAGAGAATGGCAGTGTTAGGCCTTCGTTGGCATATTGGACAGGTCTGGCACTATGCATATCGTGATTGGGAACGCCGGAAGAGGGCTTTTCTCAGATACTGAATTGAATCTATACAAACTATATTGATATAAGCCGACGTTGAAATGAGCCATCTAAGGATTATGACGTCAAACTATTTTATTACTTTTCTTTGCTTATTTGGCTGGAAGAAATTAAAGATAATATTACGTAGCCTCCTCATTGTTAATATGTAAACTTTCGATGGTACAGATGATTACATGATCTGTATGTTGAAGGTATCAACACATCAATGTCATCGGGTACTCCTACGTAAAGAAGTCACCTTACGTGTTGATTTAAGTTCGCCCATGGTGTATCGTTGTCCTGAGGCCTAATATAACGTTATTCTAAACTGACTGAAACTTCAATAAATCCTTTCACTCTGAATATCGTTTAACATTATGTCACTGAAATATCCACATTTCTAATACTTTATAATCAAATCATTCTGGTCTAAAACTGCATAAAGTTCTAAATATCACCAATATTGTAGCATGAGCATGAGCAGTTCAAAATGGGTATCTGCCAGCTGAACGTCACCCTACTTCATTGCTGAGAAAACAACCAACGACGCTATCCATTTCTCATGAATTCACAAATTCGTTATTTCGTCACCTTCCGTGAGTGAAGTTTCTATGTAGGGTTGTATTGCATACATTTTATTTCTTCTTTCTCTCTTAACATGTCAAGTGGTAATTTGTGGAATATCATCCTTGAAAACTGGAACCGTGGTGAATGGACGTCCAACTCCAAAGGCTCAAGAATAACCCCATTCAACAACTCGGAGGAGATTGTTGCTCGTCTCTTATACCCTAAATTTATAATATTCTGTGATCACGCGGACTTAGCAAAGTGGTTTTTACCCAAATATTTTTTCACATGAGTAGGTATATTCATAAATTACTACATGAAGGTCATGCATTGTACATGTTGAGAAGTCATGACACATCCGTCAATGCTGTAAGTAATGGTAGCCATTTGCTCATTCTTCATTTGGTTGGTTTTTCATCCTGGCAAAATATCTTTCAACTTGAAAAATATCTTTGAAGGTAGCAATGAAGGATTTAAAAACAAAGATGCTTTTCCCATACAGCTTATATATGTGTCTTTTTCCATCTAGTATTTAAGTGCATCTTCATGCAGCAAATTGCAGAATTTCATGCGGCTATAATTGAAAATGTTTGAATTCCCAAACCAACACCAGGAAAATTGTATGAGTGAGAGTGGTTTTTACGCCGCTTGTAGCAATATTCCAGCAATATCACGGCGGCGGATACCAAAAATGGGCTGCACACATTGGACCCATGTGTTGAATTGAACCCGGATCTTCAGTGTGACGAGCAGACGGTTTATCCATTAGACTACCCCACCGCCCCACCTGGGAAAGTGTGTAATCTATAAATGCGCACGTACACCATTACAACAATACCAGTGTGTTTAAACTAGATTTTAGCATACTTAGACCTGAAGCATGTGAAAATATTATTTCAACTCAAGAAAACCTGTGATTGATATTATCTGCAACATCCGTCGAGGTACGATTACCACGTGACCGAGTCGAACTGACTAATGCTCATTTAAGGTTCCATAAATAGCAAAGACCTCCAAACAAACATTTTCTTTTAAAGAATTGTTTTTTTATTTCCATTATAGCCATTATATTTCGGAACCAGTTCCTCCACCGTAAATCAAGATGGTCACGCCATTTGATATCTTGTTGGAAAACATCTTTAGGGTTATCGCTATCTTCGTCGTTAATACACATTTATGCATCAGTATCAGCGTGCTGAAGAGACCAAATGCTCGCAGCTCTGTAAGAACAATGACATTTAGAAGCAGGTATTTTGAACTTTGCCATGTTATGATAGCCACTGGCTGCATGACACAGGTAGTCTCATCGATCCAGTGTAAATACCACTCTTAATTTGATCACATTTCAAGACAGATCACAATTTACCGTGTGGAATCCCCAGAGGAATAGCCAGAGAGATTTCAGAGAAGTGTCAGTCTTTGTTTGACACACGGCTGATATATCAGTAACACATTAGGATAATATTGACTTTTGAGAATGATTTCTCTTACATGTATGTGTTAAAATGTATATGTTACTGCGGATATTTACACTTCTGAGGAGACACCTGACATTTCAAATTAAAACTTGTAAACCCCCATATGAGAGTGAGGATTCATATATTTACGGGCAAGACGTCTCGGCATTGGTAAATGTGTTAAATTCGTGGTCCATATATACGTTTGTCTCCATTTTTGGAGGAACACAATAAAGGGTTCAATTGACAACTCATTTTCCTTTTAGGGCCCGGATTAATCAATAGTGACCAGTCCTAATCAGAACCCATTGCGATTGATGAAGAGTATTCAAGAAAAAACACAAAGCCAGTATGCTAAATAGGACAGAATCCATCTGAAACTATTTAATGAATATTAGCTTCATCCTCTCAAAGTATTATACCACACGCTAACTGCGTTAAGAAACACACCTTTACATTGCAAGCAGCATTTCAGTAATTGTGTTAACGACCAGCGGTTCAAACCAACCACCTAAGCAAACACACACCACTAAACGAGCAGTCTAACGCGCCTAATCACCATTTACACCGGGCAATCAAGAATCCAGTCTTCAGATTTCAGAAAAGGAAAACAGTTTGGCTTGAGACGATGAAAGGTTCCTGATCAATGGCACAGTAAGTAGACGGTCGGCCGTATGGAAGGATAACTTCAGAAAGAAACCTATATTTCCTTCGTCTCGTCCTCAACACTTGGCAATCTATGACTGTAACACGCGCATTGATTGTGGCGCGGTGTTACCGATTCTCCAGTCTATAAGCCTGCACTTCACTCCATCGGTATTACAAGCCGAACATCCTCGCTGCTGCTCCCAGCGTAGACGTCGCCGCTTCGGTCCTCCTCTCTGCCTGGACTTTTGCACAATATCGTGTTCACTTGTTTGGGCTTGCATTTGGGTCCGTGCATAAAAGATGTGAACCAATAGCAGAATGTTCACGTTGACAAGGGGCTGATCAGTTGGAGGGTGAAGGACACGGTTAATCGGTTAGCCACGTGGGTGCGGGTCTTACATCGGGGATACGGGCAACAGGGAGAGATACTATTGCATCGATAGTACGGAGTCTCCAGTTGACATGTGCTTGTTCGTTTGAATCAGGATGACCGCGTACCGGATACTTGTGTGGAAAGTTGTTTTTGTACTCGGATATATTTCAAAGACTGCTGGTTTCAAGGGACAAATCCCTATAGGTAGGTACCATGTTTTATATTCATGAAAAAGTCCGAAAGTCATGTTCCAACAAAAGAAAACCTGCAACACAATATTTGAGCTGAATTCACTCGTATACTTTTTGATGTTATAGGATAACCTGAGCCTCTTTCCTTAATAGTATGTATGACATTTTTATGTGGTCGTTTATAATTAGCCTAACATTCTTCTGTCGTCGTTCGATTTTTGTGGGCTTCGATTCCCAGTAGAAGGCACCGTCATCTTTCTAGCTGGAGTCTAACGAGTTTCTTGAAGAGTAATTCAGTTCCGTTCATACCTCGTCCACGGGTCCTCAGGAACCGTTGCTTTCATTACAGTCTTAACTTCTTTGAAAGCCATTGAAATATATACTCTTGAAGTGACGGAGTCATTATTGTTCTCAGTCATTTATCTGATCGTTTTATCTATCAAAGTTACGCAACTTTCACTTCGAGGATTAACTGTTTATAAGCAGTCGTCTGTGTCTTTTTCAGGCGCCATATTTGATGAATATACCGACGTGTTCGCAAGGACTGGTTACCAGTATGCTATATCTAGCCACAGTCAAAGAGTGAAGGAAGGAATACAATTCTCTACTGTTTATGACGAGGTCGACATACACGACAACTTTAAAGTGGCTTCAAGAAGTATGTAGTTGACATTTATTAACATCGTTAATCCGGACTATTATTGTCACCAAGACTAAAATAGAAATAAATGGACAGATGTCATTTGTATATCTAGTATTCTTACCTACAATTGTCATAAAGGGGTCTGTTGTAAGAGGGTCCGGATTAATGATGTGATTTTTACTTAATTAGATGTTTGCTTATACCATTATGTTCTCTTCCAGCGATCCTATAATCACAGTGGTGGGATTATTATTCAAAATCACATTTTTAAACTCTTTTCATTCCTCAGTCGTCCTCATGCAATCCTTTACATATATGTAGGATGGTTTAGCCCAGTATTTATAACCTTGACTTATAACACCCATTGGTTCGAATCTCAATAACGATACAATGTGTGAAACCGATTCTTCGTGTTCTTCGCCGTGATTCAGCTTCAGTTAGCTAAATCGGTGTAAAACCGTTCTCACGCACTTCTTGGCAACCCAATATATGTATGTTGTTGTGTTTACATTTGTATAAGTATGTACTGTATGTCATGTTGTTTATCCACTATGAAGCTTATCTATCGATAATTAAGGACAACGTCCAACACTATGTTTCCTGAACAGGTTCCTGTTCCAGTCTTATTCCACCAATCACATGCACGAGGTCACGTTTGAACATCACTCTTCGTCATTGATCCCTTATGCATGAGGCTGCATCTACATACATCCTGACCCTAGATGGTTTAAACACCACATCTACCTCTCTCAAACGCCCAGCGTCATTTGATTGCTATATCCTTATCGATCCATGCTTGAGCAATGAAACGAGCGTTTTGAAAACGCCATGGAGAAAAAGTCACTTTAGTTTATTGCTCTTGAAATGAATGGGGATCTACGTAATGAAGTAACAGTATATCAAGCATTAGGCCCGACTCTACGACCCACCAGTACAAAGCACTTCATATCAGCATTTGATCATAGATGAGTCTCAAGGCTCTGACGCTGCGTGGAGCTCTTTTATGCTGTCACTTAAGGGTTTCATTATTCAACAGGGTTTGAGGTCACTTGAGTATTTTCAGTGGAGCCGAATACTGCCTGTTCTTAATTATGACTGAGCATAACGCTATGTAACGTGTACAATGAATGCAAATCATTACATCATTAGTAGATGAGGTTTGATGATGAAAACATTTTTCCAAATAGTTTTTTGTCGTGTAATGTATGGTATTATCGATGCGCTTAACAAAACTGATCAATTTGTAATCATGCTCCGATAAACATGGAAAAATGAGGTCACCATATGCCCTGAATATTGAGATGGTGCCAATGTTCCAAAGATTTTGCCTTATTTTGCAAATAAATTTGAATAGGGATTTCGGCATGTGTCTGTGCTTATGTAAACAACCTCGGCCTCAAATTATCTGGTACTACATCATATCTGGCGGTTCGCTCACGAATTATATTCTTCGGTTTCTGGATTTCTGTGAATGGAATTACATCTTCAAAGTTGGTAGGCTGTAAGGATCTTCTAGGGTAATAAATTATTACTCTATGGCTCTTTTAAAGTACATCTATCTATATTATTAATATACACATTTACATTAAAAAAATCACCACATACCAAATGCTCATACCATGAGTTCATATGATCATTGACACGCATAATGTGCGTTCACAGATTCCAATACAACGGAACCTCGATAATCCGGTCGATATCAACGATGATATTTTGCATCAGTATATGATGAATGTGTGGGGAAGTACACATAAAAGACGTTTGACATTGTAATGACCAGGTATATTTTGTTTTGGATCAAGAGAGTCCGGACTATGGGGGTTTCACTATAGATTCATCTGCACTGAAACCATATGCATCGTAATTGTGTACTGATACCGAATTGTTACGTATCCCCTAATTATTTCTTTATTTATATGTACAGTGATTATGCTGGTATACAACATGTTGGGAAATCACTGAAATGGCCATGTACAGCACCTTTGCCCAAATGAAGCAAGTACGCTGCTAATGATCGAATGCCTCATGACACATCCATGTATGGAGTGCTTAACTTCTGGACATGATCCACAGATCTGCCAGAAGGCCGTCAGACATTCGTAAACACATATACGCAGATTAGGAACTTCTGTACAGTGTGTAAATTTTTTCTTCACACGAGCTCTGAACTGGGGCATGTGGCTCCTTGGAAATCTCAACTGACTGGGAACGTAAATAGGTGAAACTTGGTATCTTATTCGACGGTGGAGGCCATAATACCTTTTAATACCTCGAGGGATTGCCGGATATCTTCTTGTTTCCGTGAGATGTTATTTATGATGACTACTTTTTTTAACTTCGGCATCGTTGACGTAACGAACTTTAATACTGAAATTTCTAAATGTTACACCACAGACATATCTGACGTTTGAAGTATGAGTGGAATATTTGTAAGTTCTATGTAGCTAAGTGTAGAACCTATTGACTTTCTTATGCTCTTCCGTTCTTACTTTCACGTCATCAACAGGATTATTGTAACTTTAATGGTGTTATTAGACTGAATGTTAAAACTGAAGTATGTTTTTATTTCCAAATGAGGGGCGTTGTTATGTTATTTGAATGCAAAGATTAAATAGCGTTCAAAATGATCATACACTGAGCCACTGTTGTGTTGAACTTTGAGAAGTCGAATGTGCGGTTGTTGTAAGCCTTGGTATCAGTGTATTTCTTCGTTATTCATCACTATGTAGCCTTTGAGGTGTGGAAGGAGAATTTGTCACGAATTGTTTTTTTCCAGTCTGAAAAGGACAAATATATTCTCATAAGCCAATCGGTCGATTGCATGAGCGTGACACAATGCAAAACAGTAGATATATACCAAGTTCATTGTTTGGGTCGAACATAGGAAAACTCGGAGAAAGTTCCTTTCAACTTCGACCTTCAACGGTGTTTGAATGTGTATAATTCTGATAATTTTTGGCTTCCTATGTTTTGTGATTAACACACTTACATCCAGAATGCATGTATATTATCAATGATTAGGCAGATGTATGGTGACGCCGTAGTAAGCAATATGTAAGCTATACCATTTGGCCCCGAAAATTCTCAAGTCTCCATCAGATGCATCTGCTTTTTGGGCGTCAACTGCAGGCTATGCTGATGTTCACGCATTTGCAATATTTTCACGCACTGGGACAGCAAAAAACTTGTTTCCTTCGGTCCCTTGGAACAGCACGTGGTGGTAGATATGAATGCTGGGATGCAATATATCGGAGTTTTCAGCATACAATAACTGGCTGCATAAACACCATCCTTGCATATCCAATGTACTATATTGTCACTATGTTATAACGGTAAATACCCTGGAATCATTGCCAATAACAGCTCTTCAGAATACTGGTTCGGGATTAATCTGCATTAAACTCGAACCATCCAGTCGAAACTGTTTTATATGGTTATGTTTGGGTTTTAATGAATATGAAGATACAAGGCAGTACTTCTGATGTTAAATGCTGATGCTTTCCCATGTGCATATGAACCACAGGCAGGGGGCAATTCTTTGGTTTTTTAATCACTCAAAGATGTGTGTGATTCCACTGCTTTTCTAGTTCAGTGTCGTGTCATTCGAACCGGATTGAAAACAAAGCCGGGTGGCGGTCGGGTCCAGTGCATTTAGTTTAACAGATTGGAGATAGACTTCTTTGGGAAATTGAAGATAATAACAAACCCACCAAGTATAGATGCCGTCGAATAATTAAATGTTGTTTTTTTCCTTTTCCTTTTTAATTATTATTTCTTCAGATATACATAAACATGTATAATCACAATGACACAATAGATGAATAATGAATGTCGATAATAGTGCAATATGTAATAGAGACATGTTACAAGATGCGCAGATTTCATAAGTAGTCTTTTAGAGACAAATAAATGGATCTATACTATGGTTATTTTCTTTGACTACAACAGGAGAACCTACTCGTGTAGCTCTAATAAGCAGCAGATTCTAATACATGTAAGTGGTCTCGTATAAATCACATATAAGTCCTTGTTACTGAGCGTCAAACAGATCCATCCGAGACTTTAAACAGCTGCCCTAGTTTTGAAGGTTGATATTTCGCTGTATTTCTTGTATCATTATATTTAACTCATTTACTTTCAGAAACATTTCTCCAGTAAAATAATTGAATGCTCTCGAGAAACGAACGGCTGATCATACCACTCTGGGAATCACCACTGTAATTTTAACGTAAAAACGATTGATATCACGTTACCAGCTACTTTGAAACTTAATCACTGAATTTCTTTTTAAGATCTTAAAAGTAGTTGTTGAAAACCCATCAATGCTACATAAAGATACGATGCCACGACCTCGCGCATTGACGCTATGTTCATTAATGTTCAGACTAGTCTCATACTGCTTTAATCTTGATTAGTAATTGTTATTGCTTCACCATTCCAGACATATTAATGTTTTAGAGAGATGTTTTTACGTGGATACCGGTATTTGTAGGATTTCAAGTTTGTGAACACTCAATACTCATTAACTAATTCCTTTATAACCTTTAGTGTATAGTATGACCAGAAATTATTGAGAATTTGAGGAATATTTTTAATTGGATTTCTAGTATAAACAACTTTGACCAGCTATCAAGTGCTTGGTTTCATCCAAGAGAGACAACACCGTTAATCCTTTTTCATTAGTATGTGTTGAGTTATCCCCCTTTGTTTACTTGCTAGCAGACGACATTTTCAGTGATCCTCAGTTTGGATGATGAAGAGAAGAGGAAGTTGATTTTAGAGTATTATAACAAGGACATCAGATCAGCTAAAGTGATTACAAGTAGAACAGGCATCCCTTTGTCCACTGTTTATCGTGTTTTGAAAAATATTGCAAATGGATATGGCATTGAGCACCAGGGAGGCGCAGGTAGGCCCAGAAAATTGACTGTCAGTGACAGGAGGCAGATTGGTATTCTTGTTTCTAAAAACAAACGAAGGAGTTTAGAAAACTTAAGGCTGGATATGATTGATAG